TTTTTTTTTAAAAAAAAACTAGTGTTATAGAAAGACCAGCACTAAATAGTAAGGATAAGATGCTGACATTTCCCTAATTAGGCACAGAATGTCTGAAGTCTTCAATTTATTCAGAATTTTACCATCCAAGGGTTCATGTTTAGTTTTCCAGGGACTTCAATTTGCAGACATATATCTGTTATCTTCTCCAACTGACCCCTTTGGAAACACTGGATACAACTTCCATCATCTTTAGCCACAGAGGTAGTCCTTGACTTACAACATCAATTGGGACTGAAACTTCTGACTCTAAGCAATTTCATTTTTAAATGAGCCATCACATGGCCATGACCAATTTTATGACTATTCTGCCACAGCTGTTAAGCGAATCACATGGTTGTTAAGTGATTGACTCTCCTTATCTGAAGCTCACTGAGAAGACTGCGGATGACAATCACATGGCCCAGGGATAGGGCAACCATTATAAATATAGGATGCCAAGTACCTGAATTTGGATCATGTGATTACAGGGATCCTGAGATAGTTGTAAGTGTGAGGAATAAGTCACTTGTGTCAGCACCATCGTAACATTGAACGGTTGCTAAATGAATAAGTCAAGGATTACCTGTCTTGGTGGATGACAGAAGTTTAGATTAACATATGTAGGAGGTACTATATTTCACAAAACTGTTCCATAACTTCTTAATTCATACAAATCAGAAAATTCTGTCACCTCTCCCAAACACTACACTTAAGAAACTTGTGTTATGCTCACCTTTACTCCTACAGAACAACTGAGCAGAAATGTGTTCAAATTTACCATTTAAACTCTTAGCAGGTCATCTGAGCCTGAACAATCTGTTTTGCAACCGAGATCACAATCCTAGTGCCCTTTAGGACGGACTGAAACGCCCCACTACGTCTGTCAACCAAGGGAAAGGTATAGCGGTGTTTTTACTCCGATCGTCTTTGGCTGTCAAGAAAGCCGGCGCCGAACAAACTGTTGGTTGTGTGCATATGCGCACAAACACCCAGCGTAAAAACTAAACGTAAAGAGCAAAACGCCTTTTTAAACGCCCAGAGAGAGAGAGAGAGAGAGAGAAACGTTGACACTACCCAAAGGAGCCATCCCAGCGCCTCCTCTCATTTCCTTGCCTTGAAGCGGCTTGGACCCTGAAGGGAAGAATTCGCGAATGCTGCCAGTCAAACAAAAGAGGGTGTAACAGCTGCAGAAGAAGACGGGCGGACCCAAAGGAAACCAAGCGACTCCCCCGAAAAGGCGGGAGCGCCCTATTTTATTTTGGGAAACCCAGCCAAGCCCCGCCCCTCCCTCTTCTGCGAACCTTTCGGCTCTTCCCTGGACACGGATCCATGGAAGAACAAAGAGTTTTATTCCTCCACGCCGTGGGAATCCCTAGGACCCCGCGGCGCCGCCTGCCCTACTTCTCTCTCCCGAGGCTCGGGCATTTCCTCACCCAAGGGAGGAGCCAGAAAGACAGAGGACGGAGGGAGAGGAGTCCTTCGTCCCCCCCCCTCTTCTTCTCACCTGACATTTTTACCTGGCGGGAGACCTTCCGCTGCTTCTGCCGCTTTTGGGGATGGGGAGGCTCTTCTAAGGCTCCTCCGCCCGCCTCGGCTTCACGCAAGCGACGGCTCGGAGGCAGCCAGACCCGCAGCGCTTCTCTCGCTTCCTCCCTTCCCCCTCCTCATCCTCATCCTCGGAATTACTCCGGCGGGAAAGGAAGGAAGGGGAAGGGTTAAAAAAAAAAAAGCAAGAAAAAAGCGGGAGTGGGGGGCTCGAAACGGCCCCGTAAGGTTCGGTCAGAGCCGACAAACCGAGAGCGTTTGTTCCGGACTTCCTTTGGAAAGTCCTGCCACGCCGGCCGCCCTGCCCCTCTCTCACCTCAGCCCGCCAGATGTGGCGGTCGCCTGCTCTCCTCGGTGAGAGAGGCAGAGGTGGCCTTGGTGGGAGTCTCTCTCGTTCCGAGGGGCGGGGCCAGCGGGTCCCTCCTCGGTGGCGGCGGGCGGTGGGAGGCGTCACTCCAAGGAGCGGCGAGAAAGGAGCAGGAGACCGAGGCGGTTCCGAAAGTTTTCGGCGCTTCGGTTGACCAAGGGAAAGCGCGGGCTGACCTGCGCCGCTCCCGCATGCTGACCGCGGGAGAACCTTTCCTCCCGCCTAGGCTCAGCCGGCTCGTGAGGCAGTGGGGACGCCGGGAGCAATCCAGGTATGCAACAACCGAGCCTCCCCGCCTCTGGCTGAAAGAGCCACACTGTCACCTGTGCGTTTAGGTAGGTCTCTGACCTGGGATCCCGAAAAAGAATTTGTCTCCAAAGAATAAACTTTACCTACTGCCTACATGCACTGTGTGTGTGTGTGTGTGTGTGTGTGTGTGTGTGTGTGTTGTTGTTGATGATGATGATGAT